GTTACGTTACGTTACGTTACGTTACGTTACGTTACGTTACGTTACGTTACGTTACGTTACGTACGTTACTTACGTTAACGTTACGTTACGTTACGTTATTACGTAACGTAACGTAACGTACTACTCTCTCTCTCTCTCTCTCTCTCTCTCTTCTCTCTCTCTCTCTCTCTCTCTCTCTCTCTCTCTCTCTCTCTCAAAATGTTGCTCTGAGTCAGCAATATGAGTTCTTTGATGGATGGATCATATTCATGTTGCAGAGATTTGATGCTATTGTGGGAGATGTCACCATCTTGGCCAATCGCTCTCAATACGTAGACTTCTCACATCCATTTGCTGAGTCGGGGTTTTCGTTGCTTGTCACCATTAACGACGAGAATTCACACAGCGCATGGATGTTCATGATGCCCTTCACCATGGGTATGTGGCTGGTTACAGGTGCACTATTCATTTACACGTCAATAGTGGTGTGGTGTTTGGAACACAAGAATAATCCTGATTTTGGAGGTTCTCTGTGGGACCAAATCGGCACGGTCCTCTGGTTCACGTTCTCAACCCTCTTCTTTTCTCATAGTAAGTTTGCATACAGAACACAAAATTTGATCATCTCATTCTTATGTGAGCAAGCTGGAAATTCAATGTTAGTTCATACGCCAAATTCTCAATCTTTTCATCAGGAGTGGTAATAAGACAATCATATTGCAGCAATATGTTGCAAATTTGTCTTTCACTCGAAAAGTTTGACAGTTATATAGTTATGCAAGAGCTAAATAAAGAGTATGGGTTCCTGAAATGCAAATTTGTATTGTAAGTTTGAAATAAAACCAAACATAGCGGAAATTTTGAAAAATATATGATCACATAGCCAAACACAGCCCAAGCATATAAATTTCCAAATTTGCATTATTAATCAGAAACATAGCCAAACATGGCGTGATATTTTCAAATTTGCATTATATATTATAGACAAAGCCAAACATAGAAAAAAATATATTATAAATTCTTTATTTTGCATTGTAACTCATGAACACAGCCAAACATAGAGTAATATTTTCAAATTTGTATTATAAATTAGAAGCAAAGCCAAACATCACCAAAAATGTACATAATTTTTTAATTTCGCATTATAAATTAGAAACATAGCCAAACATAGAGTAATATTTTCAAATTTGTTTTATAAATTACAAATAAAGCCAACACAGTAAAAAATATATCATAAAGTTTCAAATTTAGATTATGAATTAGGAACATAGTCAACCACAGAAAGAGATATTTTACAATCACAAAAGCAGCAAGCCCTTTATTTATTTTAAAGAAAAGACCACTCATGAAGTTTCATCACAAATGTAAAGCCAAACTTCAAAAATAAACACAAGAAAATGATAAAAAGGCATAACATAAAACAATACTCACAAAATATATGAAACCCTAAACATAAACAATTAAATTTAATAACCTTTAAAAAACAAGACTTGAATGGGTCACTTTTGGTTACGAAAGCCCTCTTTTGCAACCAAATACTATTTCCTGCCTCTCCAAAGGGGCTCTGGACGGATGCCCAGCCAGGCGATTCCCTGGGCAACTAGTCGGCTGCCCAAGGTCCCCACCCTGCACTAAGCTGCATGGGACCAGTGCAGGGCGCCAAGCAACTAGGCGGCTGACTTTTTGAACTATGATTTTCGGAACAGACGGTAGATTCCTTGTATGTATTTGGTATATCATACACATGATCTGTAAGTCATACATTCCCAAACAGTAAGAAAAGCAAGGAGCTTGAGAAATACTGGCAGGTTGAGGTCTAAGCTTGAGAAATTCTGGCATATCCATATTAGTTTTAGTGGCCTCGAGTTGCGATGACTAAAGTCCAATCACATGGAAACCATTGTAATACCTGAAATAAACTGCTTTTGTAGGAGAAAATGTAAAAGGTAGCCTCTCAAGGATGGTGATAGCAATATGGTTATTTGTGGTGCTAATTTTGACATCAAGCTACACTGCTAGCTTGACAAACACACTCACCATTAAACGCTTGGATCCCACAGACACAAGCATAGAATCCTTGCTGAGAAACAAATCAACTGTGGGCTGCCAACATACTTCCTTTATGGTTAAGTACTTGGAGGAAGTTCTAGGGTTTGATCCTGTCAATATCAAGAAAATAACATCTGCAGATGAACTTTCTGAGGCTCTATCCAATGGGACAATAACAGCGGCATTCATAGAACTTCCATATATCAAAGTCTTTCTATCCCAAAAGAAGTGCAAAGGATTTACCATCAATGAGCCCACATACAGGGTGGGAGGCGTCGGATTTGTAAGTCTTGTCTCTTCAGTTCTCGTTTAGTACAAGATTATAAGGTATTCTAGTTATCATAATATTAAGGAGCAATAGAAAACTTCAAACGCATTTTCGTAAACAGGAATGTTAGGTGTTTTATAATTTTGTTTTTGGGAATTGGATACTCTAGTAACTCCGCTTGGTTTTCAGGAACCATCCAAATGTCTCTCTCTCTCTCTCTCTCTCTCTCTCGATAAGCCCAAGGTTGTTGCAAATTTTGGAACAGAAACTTAATAATGGACCACATAAACATTCTACGCATTAAAGGATTTTAGTGACTGAAAAAGACAGTTGGGGATCAGAAAATTTTTATGTTATATCCAATTTATCAACTCGCAACACATTAAACACAAAAGCTTAGCACTCACGTTCTATTTTTTACTTAATGTTTCGGTTTGGTAAGTGTCGGCTCACTACGAGAGCTTCACAAAAAGTTACTAATCCAAGAACTACTCTTACAAAGGCATCCCTAACTTGGATCCTACATTTCCATACTAACTTAACTCGAACCAAATGGTGTCATGGATAATCAAACAAAAATAACATATTTGGAGAAAGACTAAATTGTGCCTCGCATGTTCCAGGTATTTCCTCTCGGATCACCTCTTACTTCTGATGTTTCTAAAGCAATCCTCAAGATAAAAGAACATGGAGAGATGCTGTATTTGGAGAGAAAGTGGTTATTCTCTACCGAATGTTCAAAAGTTTTGACTGATGTAAAAGATGATGATGATAGCCTCAGCTTGGACAGCTTTTGGGGGCTCTTTCTTATCACAAGTGGCACTACGACCCTAGTCCTCCTGCTCTTTTTTCTGAATTTGTTGCATGGTTATCGGCACCTCGAGAATGTGGAAGATGGTGGAGGAAGGGCAAAGAGCATGCAGGCCTTCATGGTTGCATTGTATAAGTATTGGGATGAGCCACAAATTCAAACTTTAGATATGAGGATCGAGATGGAAAATAATGGGGAACATTCAAATGAATCAAGCATCAGTAAAACATAATAGCAACTTAAGAACGCTTATCACTCATACCCAAGAATGCATGTGTTACAGAAAGTCAAGCTACTTGGGGAGTTCACTTGTAAAGGTTTGGATTTCTTTTAGAATTCTTTTCACCCATTAAAAAAAAAAACAGAAAAAGATTCCACTGACTCAAATGTGTGAAATACAAGCCACACATTATTTAATGTTGGCTTATCACGAAAAATTAGAAATTCTGGTCCAATGCAAGTTATTAATGGTTCGGGTCTTGCCCGCTCCAATACATGCCTGATATAGGACACTGTACCATGTACAGTCAAAATCACCTTATATGGTCAAAATGTACAAAATTTTTGAGGTTGATAGTAGCTGTTGCATTTCGACACGATGGTTGATATATAACTTTCTCAAATTTTGAAAAAAAAGCGAGAGATATAAACCCCTTCATTTTCGTTATTTCAAAATTTTGCCTACTGCATGTATTATTAGCTTGTCATTTCTTGAAGTTATTAATAAATAAAAAAGAGGACCCATGTAATATCCATTATAAAGTCTGTCATATTTGATATTTTTCAAATATTGACAGTTAAAATATAATATTTGATAAAATAGTTATGATTTTATTTCCTATTTTAAACTTTGATATTCGGCTGCTATCTTCATATACTAGTATTTAAGCATTGCTTTAGTTTCAACTATATCATACGGCAGGAATCTTCCTGAAACCCTAAAATTGAGTATACCTACAAGATTCTGTAAGAACTTAAAATTAATACCTAGAGCCATTTCTATTGAGAAGAAACAATAACTGTGATGTTGCAAATGTTCAAACCAATTTAGGTCTTGTACCTCAATCATGAGTGCAGAGCACAGCAAGCACCTTCCTACTTTGAATGTAACCATTCACATGCCATTTCTAGTCTCCCTTTTGAAATTGGTATGGTTGTTTGCATGCTAAGTTCTTCCTTCTGTATTAGGGTAGTTGATTTGGAATAAGAAAGACAGTTACTAGTAAATCTAACAGAAAGGAAAATTTATAAGAACTACATATCAAAGTATATAAACCTCATCATCCAGTTAAAATGGTTGAGGTCTATGTTCATCCATGAAATGGAGAAAGGTCACTCCTCGCTATCGGCAGTGTGGGAAAACCAGGATTTAGGTCAGAACTTGATAGAGACTCAGACAAGTTTATACAAAAAAATTATACGAAAATATTTGGAATAGGAAAAAAATAATAATAAAATATTGAAGATGGTCAGTTCCCACGTGTTTGGTTTTGAACTCAACAGGGTTCAAAGACCGTGTGACTCAGGCGAGTCCTAGTGAACCACCCGAGTTTCCCTGCTCTGGTTAATGGGATTGCCCAACTTGGTGAAGAGCCTAGCATTCCCAGAGCAAGATCCTCATTGGATCTCACTCTCATATATAGGGAACACAATACCAATTCCTTTAGGACCAGTCAGTATAATTCACATCCATGTTAGATATATGTTTTACAAGGAAAGAAGTCTTAAATGCATATCAATCAAACGAAAAGCAGTTATGTAGCAAAAATCATGGTCCTTAGAAGTTTTAAAAGGAAAAGAGATGCTTTAAGCCAAATCTATCATAGATGCCTTAGATGCATGTCAATCAAAATAGACAGAAAAGAAAGGATTATTTTATGATGCAAATCCTTGCACGATACTTTTTTGAGGGGAAAAGACGATTAATCTTGATCAATTAAAAAAAAAGTCTTAAATGATATATTTTCAATTTGGTATTAAAGAATGGACAGTGGATCCATGTTTAGCAACTTTGAATGAAAATTTGTCTCTTATCTCTTTCAATATTTATTCTCTTTCTATATATGCCCAAGTTTCTTATTAAATTTATAATGAAACGTCAGGGAATGGCAAGGGTAAGACCTATTTTGACTGAAATCTATTATTATCTTACATCAAAAGTTATAATATGTAGACAAATAAATAACTAGGGAATGCAGGACTTTTACATGGTAAGACGGAAAAAATATACTCCTGACAGATTTGTTTTTCATCTTAATATAAATTGTGTTTGTTTTAAGTTTTCAATTAAATTTTATATTTTGTGCATATTAAAGAACACTCCTATGATGCTCCCACACTAGAAGCTTCTTGCCACTGACAAACCCTTCTCCCTTCCCATTCCCTCTTTCAATACTATTAAGCTTCTTGCCACTGACAAACCCTTCTGCCTACCCATTCCCGCTTTCAATAACTACTAGGCTTTATAAGCATTGCAAGGAGTTACCAAGTATTGCCTGATGTCATTAGTTAGACCTCTGAGCTATCAGTTTTCTGGCCCCTTGGTATAGGGTCACACTTGGTATAGGGTTACACATCAGAGAAGAAATATATTATTAAGCAGGCCCTAATAATGACAGTAGACTGCACATTGGAGGTCCTGCCTATGCTCTATAGACCTTTCACAGATACCCCAACATGGTGAAGTCCAACAGTAGATGAACAGCCATGTGCTCTCGAAGGCATCCAGACAAAAGGCCACAACTATGGGTTCAGCCCATGTAAGATGGCATTCCACCTTCGCCCATAGGTGCTCCTATTTTATGAATAGGCCAAGGTTGTGGTTTGGAAACCTTAGTTAGGGCAAGGTCTACGTTGGCCACATCTTAAAATCGTAGACAATGCAAAATTAACTGAACTTACGTTGTAAGGCACCAGATAGAAGGACGGGCCCGGGGTTTTGGCAAGTACAGATTTCAGAAGGAGAAGCCACGCTTTAAAAGTGTGGCCTACTGATTCGCGAGAAATATATTGGGACTAATTGGGGACATGGCCCACATAAATAGGAGAAACACATCCTGAACAAATCATAGATAGGATCTCTATTGATGGGTAATCTGGTGACCCAAACTCCCACACCCCAAGGAAACTTCAATAAAGATTTTTGTCAATTGACTTATTTCCAAATTCATAACATAAGGGACTAGAAAGCACAACATGCCAGGTCACCAGTGTTACAACCATAGTTATCGGGATCTCCCAAGAAGGTAGTTGCTCCAGCTCTGAAAGCACGAATCTGCACTCAGGGATAAGGGATCTCGATTCCAAATGTTTTTGAATTTGGGGATCTTGATCCGCAAAATTGGGGATCGAGATCTTTGGTAAATGGGATCTAAATCCCTCGCTACCAAGTCATGGGTCCTTAAGTAATTGGAATCCGGCCTCCACCATCGTATGAGTTTCTTGAATCGAGCCTCTGCCAGTTTTCTTTTACATTGGTGCCAAAGATCACCACCACCTTTCGAGTTTCACGCACTACCCACCCACCCTCTCCCTAACTCCCGAGCCCATAATCTCTCTCTCTCTCTC